AGTGTTGTTCTTACTGGGTTACAACCACATTTTAAAAACAGTAATAGGCTAAAGTTCAATAAAAAAAGACATGTATTTTGAAAAAAACGCTGAAGATTTAGAAATAAAACAATGTATTGATTTCTAATACCCTTTAGATATTTCTATTCAGTGCTTTATTAATGTGCCACAATGATGTTTTTGAGTTCAAATCTTTAAAAAAACAGCCTCATCCTGCATTAGAAAAAGTATGCCATTAAAACAACCAAAGAGTTAAGAGAACAATGAAAAGAGAATACGGAATTTATCAAAAAAGATCATAATATAATATAAAAAGTTCAAAGTAAAAAACTAATCTGCTCAAAATTCATCTACACAGGCGTTTGACACAGCCAAACTTTTCACTTTACGCAGCTTGTTGTTTCATTCTCTTTGTGCTCTTTTGAGACCAGGATGGGGGGTTCAGAGAGAGTAGTTCTGTGACTCATGCTGCACTGCCTGGGAATGACAAATTGTCCAGAACTTACTGAAGTCTCGTTCAGTCAGTCAGCAGTGACACCTTACATTTCAATTTCCATTTTTATATTTTAAAACAGAAATCAAATAACCGCTCATTGCTACGGCAACGGCTGTGCATGCAGGTACTTCAAACTTGCTACATTTTTGTTTTAAACTGTTTTCCCCCCCAGCTTTATTGCTGAAACATCATTCAATGATGTCTGATTGGGTTTGAGTTTAATGTGCAAAGACAAAAAAAGAAAAATTAAACAGCAGCGGACCTTGAGACGATCCACCCTGCCAGATCCATCGGACCAGCCCACCACAGCAAGTGCTGTAATTGCCCCAGGAGGAGAGGAAGAGAGCTGCATAGGAGCCATGCTGACCCAGCTTGGACTTAAGGCTGCTTCTGGCTAATGTTCAGTCTGGATGAAATGGGGTGTTGTGCCCACATGTTTACAGAGACCTGCTCCATCAACATCCCAGATGGTCCATGGACAGACTGTGTTCAAGCACAAGACAAGAGGAGGCGGACTCTTTGTTTACACTGATGATGCTTGGTGCTCAAACACAGTCAAAGTGGATGGGCAAAAATACTTTGTACCTTGTTTTTTAATACCTATTTATGACACTAACTTTGAAATTTGAAATTTGAAAATGTAATTTTGAAAATTGAAAACTTTCCAAGGCAATAATTATTCTAGATTGGGAAAATAACTGTTACTGACCAACATATTTTTAAAAGATCCGTGTGGATTGTGGAGCAGATTCCAAGCCAAGCCTGTGTTCTAAAAGAAGTCCTTCTATTCATATTTATAGTCTGTCCTCTCTTTCTACAAGTAAGCTCAGATGAAAGTCCTGCTAAAAAATAATAGCTCATGGAGAAAGAGAAGGACTTTATCTGACTGGCAGAGCAGTCCCTCTCTTTCTCTCCCTTCTCCCTCTAATCCTGTCTGTTATTCATTCCCAAGCTGCTCCTGACAAAGACCAGAGTGAACACACATCTTTGGGAATTCCTTCATGAACAGACTGAGAGGGTGGATAATTCCTTTGACAGCGGCAGGAGAGCAGCATGCAGACGTGCTGGGTAAAAACATATGTACACAGGGCCCCGTCTCGCAGCTCTGAAGAAAAGCCACTTCCTGTCCTCTCTGTGGCTGCATGCCTGTTGTACGCTGCCTCTGGTCTGGGTCGGCTGATGTTGTGTCTGGGCTTTAGTCAATGTCTATTTATGATCTGCGGAACCTTCAACCCCCCTCCTCCGTTTGTATTGTGTTAGATGGGACTGGGGCCCTCTCTAATCCTGCTCAGGGCAGGAGCGAGGGGCCACTCTCCACTCTATCGATCCCTTGCTTCATCAGGTCCCATAACAGCCATTAAAAGATGTTAATCCAGTGTGTGCCTCTGTCTAGATCGATAGTAGACAAAAGCGTCGTAGGAGGCTGTCTGGACATTAACTCACACATGTGCTTTATGCTCTACCTGTCCGCTATCAGCATCATGATAAAGATACTGCAACACCTGCTCCTGGGAGATACAAGTATCATTCTTAATAGGACTAAAAATAAGAAAAGGGTTTAGTACACTTCGACTAAAGCAGTTTGTACAATGTGTTGTCCTAACATCTCAGTCAAAAGTGTTCATAGCTGTTCTGACTGTCCAAACTGAAAGGGGCCACTATAGCCTCTTCTGGCTTAAACTTCGGCATAGACTAGGCCTAAGGAATAAAACAATAGATATGTATCGGCAATAGACACTTCATCAACAGCAATAAGAACATTGTTCAATAGAATATAGATAACTTAAATTCATTAAACGTACAATATGTGATATCTGCCTCGAAGGGACAAAAGACAAAGTTTGATGATGTCGTGAAGTAGTATGGGATCATAGAAGTTGCAGTCAGCTTCTCCTGGTTAGGATTCCTTCAGTGTTCATGGTTCAGGAGGTTTTTACTGGGAGCCCAACTATCCACAGAGGTCTCCTCCTCTCCAAAACAAACAGACCCGCTGATTAAAACCGCTAAAAACACTAAATAAATCACTGCTTCTCCCACGCTGTTGGGGGGACTAAGGGCGTCCCGAAGGGGCTGCGAGCCGAGCTGCTGCTAACGTTAGCTCAGCTCGTTTCTCTGATAACGGGGACTGAGGCTAAAGCTAACAGGTAAATTTATCACTCCATTCTTGGTTCCAGAGGAAAAAACACTCAGGGTTTCAACTGGTGATTGGATTATCATACATTATTATTTTACCTGGACCCTTTGTGGAGTGGGGGTGTTGCAGTTGTTTAAGTCCCCCTCTTTGGATTAGAATCATGAACGCTTCTTCATAATCAAAGCAGCAGCAGAACCTAAGAAAAACACGGGACTGAGGGTGAGGGATTATTCTGGGTAAGGGCCTTCAGCGTTAAGGGTCCGTTCCAGGTCCCAGGTCATGTCATATCTATTTTGTTGCAAGCCGGTATGATCTAAAGCGCCCTGTGTCTGTCCAATATAAACCGACCAGCAGCCCTCGTATAAATAATCTGCCTCCAACCACTAAAGATCACAGCTGAATGTTTTGAGGTTGTCTTCATCTGGATTCCACGAATGATTATGTGTGTGTAGTATAAATGGTCTAGAATGATGAGATAGTGTATTAATGATCGTGAGCCGCAGTGAGTTCAATCTCATTGTTTATCCTCTGGAGAGGCAAATAAAGTCCCATTTTATTCACATTGTTGAGCTTTGTCCACAGCACCGGTTCCCAACCTTTTATCCTTCAGGGTAATCCGATGACCTGTGACCTCAATGGAGCTTATTGTATGCTATTATATTATATTCAATAATAACAATATCATTACTTTGTACAATTTTCTGTTACAACAAGAATTTAAATGTCTCTGTGGAGGTAACGTAAGTGTAACTTTTTTTTGGAAGGAAAAATAAAGTTAACGTAAAGTTTGAGTTTATGTTTGATCGCTAGAGTTTACGATTATAAACGAACAAATGTCCAAAATCTGATGAAAAGCATCAGGTACATTACTCCAGCAGGCTGTGGAGAGAGAGAGTGTGTTTACCTGTTGAGGAAGGAGTTCCCGAACGCGTTGAGCTTCCTGAAGGGTTTCTTGGGGTCGACCACCAGAGCGTTGCCGGGGACGACGCCCTCGTTCTCGCCGTACATCACCGCGATGAAGCCGTCGGTGGTCGGCTCCGGACCGATCCGCATGCCCGGGAAATCCTGCTCCAACAGGTACCTAGAACCAGAGACACAGATTTAGTTTAGTTTTGGTTTCCAGCAGAGTTTAAGGCTTTTTTTTACCCGCCGTTCTTTCTTTCGTCTTAACGTCAACCTCTCACTAAACCCTCGTTAAAGAAAAGGGAGACAGGAAGGAAGAGCTGCGGTGGCTCTCTGTCCTCGCACTTCCTTTTGTCACAGCCAGACGGACGGGCACCGACATCAAAGACAGAACGGACAGAAAAACCTCCACAGAGTCCGTTATTATCGTCGGCTCTGATCCGGTTTACTGTCACACATCATCAGCCGACGTGTTTCCACTGAGCCTCTCCGATCCTGGAGGATTGCCACCGGGATGAACACTTGTTGTTGTCAGCTGGAGTTCGGGGAACAATCTGCAGCCTCCAGATGCTGCTGGATGTCTGACTGGGAGAGTTTCAGAAACCAGCTGACGGACGACCACCATCAGAGGCTGAATCACCAACCCATTACCAAACTGCATATAAAAACATATACAAATGTGATGTAGAAGAGTTTATATACATTTCGAAGATTGAAGGAAAAGGAGGAGGTTGACCCGAGGCTTGTTCGACTGTGATTGGAGCACAGAGCATAAAAAAGGGGGCGGGGCTTAATAAGAGTCATCTCTAAAGCTAATTGATGCCACCTTCTATAATCAGTCAAAACTTTATTTAGCTACAAAAACAACAAAAATAAAGAAACGAGTAAAAAGTAGAAGCACAAACAGTCACGCTACAGACTCTCTACATAAACACGTGTTACCGTCTTCACGTGTGGACCAATCAGAGGCCACGCTGCGACCTTGAGCCGTTTGTTGAGTTTCACTTCACCTCCGTCAAAGAAGGAGAAGGAAATATGTCGACTCTGCAATTTACTGGCAACCTGCTCCCATGATTCATTGCATTCTTTTCAGTTCCCATGATTCATAGCATTCCTCAGGGCAGGGTGGGCCCTCAGTAGTGGAACACACACACACACACACACACACACACACGAACTGTAGCAGCAGCAGCAACAATTACTCTGGACGTAAACTGATTGCAGGTCAGTTCTGCTGCCAAAACGAATGACTGTTTGTATCTCACACACACACACACACACACACACACACACACACACTCTTTCTGCACACATGAGATAAGCTCAGTGAACCGTAACTGCAGTGTGATGACCTCTCAGTCAGTCTGACCACTTGTTTTCTTTCTTTCCTTCCAGGCCACCGTAGATTTCACCTCCATTTTTAGAAGAGATCAATAAAATGTGTCAATACGATCAATAATCCATCACTGTGAACATGCGCTCGTTCAGTCTGACGCTGCCTTCAAGGACACCTATTCAAACATGGAGTCTGTAACGCCCGCTGCCGTTGGGGTCGTTCAGATGTTGTTCGCGTCCCTCCGCTCGGGAGGTTGCAGTACTGTGGCGTCTGTCGTTACCAGGCAACCAAAACCTGCGGGCTGCACGATAACGAGGATGAAGTCGCAGTAAATTGATCAGTAAACCTCGATGAGTCAAAACAAAGACACACGGTTGGCAGGTCCCCTCGCAGTAGTTTCACTGCTCTGTTTGTGAGGAGGAAAGAATAAAAAAACCTTTAAGCTGACAACTAAACAAAACTCAGAACATTTTTATTTATCACTCGTTTCTCTTTTCAAAAGTAATGTTATTACTTTTCTCATTACTCCCTGACGACAGTTATTAGTTACACAACTATCATACCGTAAAACTCGGGCCCGGGCGTTTATTTGCTTAAA